CTCGTGGCATGGGCCTCCACTGTGCAAGCCTCTCATGCTTGTGACCTGGGCTCGGCTCCTGGCGTGCGCAAGTTGGCACGGCGTAGTCTTCCACCCGCGCGGCCAATGCGGCGCGCCGCGACTGGCCGGGGGATTGAGTGCCAGGCGCAAAACGCAGACGACGCACAAGCAAGCGCAGGCCAGCTGGCTGCTTGCCTAATGGAATGACTCCCGCTTCGGGTGCAAGAAATCGTAGGGATGTAAACTCGTGACCACCACGGTTGAACAACAATTAGCCACCACCGGGAAGCACCGCATACGGAAAGTTCGACTACAACAAAATGGCCGACCAAAATTTAGGTCACCCAACTTCGCTCATTGCACCCCGTGATGTGCGACGCGAGCTTATCTGGATGCCACCGCGCCCTCTCGCCGCCCCCATTGGAGCAAGGCAGACCGCGGCACGCGAAGCGCGATTCGCCTCGCGCGCTCGCGTGCGACCCCAATAAAACTACTACGGGGCACACCCTGGTGGGACCGCTGATGGACGTGTGGATGCGTGTACAGTCGGGGCGTTGACCTAAGGAACCAAAAATAAGGAACGAGGCCCCTTTTTCCCATATAAGTTAAACTCCGATGTTCCATGGAAAACTTCAGGAATACCCAAGGAGCATTGTAAAGCAACTAAGGAACACGGAGCCCCTCCCCAACGAAAAGGGCTCCTTCTTCAGGGCCCCGACTGTAGCTCATCTTGTGGAACTGCCAATCGAAGCCTTACCCCACCAAACCTCCAGCCAACCCGCCTGGCCAAACCTCCCGGACAAGCCTGGTTAGGGCAAATTCGTGTCGTGCCGTCTTCGGCGTTGCTTCCTGACACGGGCGGGGATCGTTCGACCCTTGAAAGATCGGCCGCTTCTGGAACGTCAGATCGTTCAACATCGGCCGATCCTGGGAAATCCTGGGTCGCCGGCGGCGTTCAACTCTGAACACCTGCGGCGGGTCGCCACCAATCAACACGATGCGAACCTACCGTACGGTAATCCTTCCCGGCCAACCCGCCTGGCCAAACCTCCTGGCCAACCCTGGAGGAAGAGCAGAAAAAGAAAGATGAGGTGAAGGAGGGAGAGGAGGAGAAGGAGGAGAAGGGAGAGAAGGAGGAGGAGGAGGAGGAGGAGAAGGAGGAGGAGGAGGAAGAGGATATATGGAAACCCTGTATAGGACAGCGAGGAGGAGGGGAGCAGGAGGAGGAGGAGGAGGAGGAGGAGAAGGAGGAGGAGGAGAAGAAGGAGGAGGAGAGGGAGGAGGAGGAGGAGGAGGAGGAGGAGGAGGAGGAGGAGGAGGAGGAGGAGGAGGAGGAGGAGAGGAGGAGGAGGAGGAGGAGGAGGAGGAGGGAGGAGGAGGAGGAGGAGGAGGAGGAGGAGGAGAGCGAGGAGGAAAAGGATGAGGATGAGGATAGATAGGGATCCTTTTTAAGACAGCGACGAGGAAGAGGAGAAGGAGAAGGAGGAGGAAGGTCAGGGTAATCCCTTCCGCAAGACACGCTAGCGTCCCCCCCCCTGGCCTCGAGCAGCTCCAGCGCGCTCATGACGCCGTTCTCGTCCCTGTCGCACGAGGCCTTCGCACCCACGCGCAGGGCGCACGCTTCGGCACGGCCAACACGCAGCGCGCTGCGGGATCTGCTGACCTAGCCACCGACGCCCACAAAATCGACTCCGCCTGACCAGACAAGACGTGTCGATATGGGGAGGGACCCGCGCGAGTGTAAATTCGTTACTATCTTGCTGCTTCGGCCCTCAGGCCAGGGAGGGAGGCACACAAAAGGGGAGAGAAGAGATGGAGGGAGAGAGGGAAACGGGAGACAGAAGGGAGACGGGAGGACTGGATGGAAGGATGACGCGATAAGACGACATGTCACCAAAACTGACTCCCGCCCCTGCCCCCCGCCAGACGGACAGGACGGACCCCCCCGCGCGGGACGGCGCAGTAGCATCAAAATTGGCACCCCCCCGCGCCCCTCGCAGGACAGGCCATTTCCACCCCCCCACGCGATCCATCCCCCCCACGCTTATTAAGCAATCCGGAGCACAGAGGAAGAAGCATCGACATTAACATGAACGTTTGGAAGTCCGCGCGGATTTCTTAGAGCAGCGCTGGACCCCCCCCCTGGTGCGCGGAGACGGACATCCCAAAGTGTACAGTCAACCCGTGTAATATGGATGCGCGGTAAGGATGCAAGGGCCTTACAGGGCCATGTTGACGTGTTTCGAACAAGTTTGGCCAGTGAGCGTCGCTAAGTATGAGCCGAAGGGGCAAGGATGCAAGGGTAGCCTTGGAAAGTCGCTCATCCTTTTGGGGTGGGTTGACAGTTTCTTCTTCGAGAGGAAGGACTATGGACGGACATCATCATCATCATCATCATCATCATCATCATCATCATCATCATCATCATCATCATCATCATCATCATCATCATCATCATCATCATCATCATCATTACCACCACCACCACCACCACCACCACCACGTCGTCGTCGTCGTCGTCGTCGTCGTCGTCGTCGTCGTCGTCGTCGTCGTCGTCGTCGTCGTCGTCGTCGTCGTCGTCGTCGTCGTCGTCGTCGTCGTCGTCTCTCGTCGTCGTCGTCGTCGTCGTCGTCGTCGTCGTCGTCGTCGTCGTCGTCGTCGTCGTCGTCGTCGTCGTCGTCGTCGTCGTCGTCGTCACCATCGCCTCCTCTCTGCTGCTACTGCTGCTGCTGCTTCTGATGCTGCTGCTGCTGCTGTTCCTCCTCCTCCTCCTCCTCCTCCTCCTCCTCCTCCGTCCACATGAAGAATATTTCCCTCTGGGCCTGTAAACAGCGTCCATCGCGCGACTCTTCGAGTCTCAGCGCGCTTCCCGTCATCCGCCACGTCGTGGCCCCGATCCGATCCCGCCACCACTCCTCCCCTGGACCCCTCCACTTGACAAATCTTTCCCTCCGGGCCGTTAAACAACCTACATCGCGCGACTCTTCGAGTCTGAGCGCGCTCCCCGTCATCCGCCACCTCAGGGCGGAAGCCCGATCCCGCCACCACTCCTCCCTTGGACCGCCTCCAGGCCCGTGACCAACGACCATCGCGCGACTCTTCGAGTCTAAGTACGCTTCCCATCATTTCCCTCGACTGCATCTCTTGCAGCCCCGGACGGTACGTATGTATGTTAATACATTTCACACATATGCTACAGATTCAGCCAGGACTAGGGGAACGTACAATGACAGAAACAAAAAGACTGGGAGGTCTGCGCGGATTTCTCGGATCGGCGCTGGGGCCCCCTGGCGGCGCCTCTGGCGCCGTCCATGGCGCGCTCCGCGCGCCAGGGAAGGGGGTCGAGCGCCGATCCGAGAAATCCGCGCGGACCTCCGAGTTTTTATGTCTGGTCATTATATGTCATTGTTCGTCCCCCAAAAGACGTCCAACTCGCTTCTCGTTCCTCGAAGACGCTTCCCGTCATCAAACCTGCCATGCATAAACGGTCCCACACCGGAGGCGCTTTTTCCGTCATCCGCCGCTGTGCCCGCCGGCACGTTGAGACGTGGTGGAATGCCAAATGCTGCCAGGTAGTTTTTCCGTAATCTTCTCAACATTTGGGCGACGTTCAAAAACGGGTCTTACGCGAGTTGACGTAGCGACCGTAGGCCGCGGCTCACGCGGGCCGCCAGCACGGCACGCCACATTGGAGACGAGGGCGCTTGCGCGCGAGCTTACGCGGGAAGCTTACGCGCCAATGTCGGCGCAGACGACCCCGTTTTTTGCGTCGCTCATTTCTCAACGGACCTCACCCCTCTCAGCGCAGACATGCCCGTGCATTCACTTCCTTCCCGAGGGCAAGACCCATCGTAAACATTACGGGTCCGCGCTCTCGTGGCCACGATTCCTCGAGCAAAAACTATGGGTCCGCGTCCCGAGCTTGGAATACGGGCCTGCAGCCAAGGCCGCTAAGATGGCCGAAGACGGCTCAAAGACGGCCCAAGATGCCCAAGGTGGCCCTAGATGGACTCTAGACGGCCCAAGATGCTCCCAAGAGGGCCACAAGATGACTCCCAACAGGGTCCGAAGAAGCCAAACCCAATGATGTTCCTGTGGGTGCTTGAATGCTTTTCGCATTCCCTCTGTTTCGGATTTCCGTCAGCCCAAGACGGCCAAGTAAGCCTCCAAGATGGCCCCGAGACGGCCTCAGAGGCCCCTCAAGAGGTTCCCAAGATGCCCCAGAAATTCCTTCGGCGGCCCGAGACGGCCCCAAACGTCCCCGTTACAGCAAGAGGGCCCAAAGACGGCTCAAGAGAGCGCGGCCTAAGAGGGCACCAAGACGGCCCCAAAGGCCCCGAGAAGAGCCCTAAGACTGCCCCACAGGAGACCGAGACAGCCCCTAGGCGGTCATGGAGCTCCGCAAAGGGCAAAAACCAACGGTGTCACATGTGACGGCCTTCCTCTTCCTCCTCTTCCTCCTCTTCCTCCTCTTGCTCCTCCTCATCATCATTTTCATCCTCATCACGGCTCTTCCAAACCTGGAGACACAAAATGTCACACATGACGGGTTCCCGTGCCCCCTGGAACGGTCGCCACCCACAATGCTGGGCTGGCACTGTGGCAGGACTTGCCACAAACAGCTACACAAACTTATTTTAGCCGGCATGTGAAGAAATACAACAATCAACCTCGTTAAGCACACTACATACAATATCGGGTGTGACATGGGATGCCATGTGATGTGACTACATGCTGCGTCGTGCTTCTTAGATCTTGCCAACCACTAGTTATCGCCGATGGGTCAACCAATACACAACACATACTATCTCAGACGCATCCAACCTTGCAGTTGGCCCGCTTGGTGCGGATAGTAACATGACAGGAGACGCAATGTGATATGAACGCCACATGGAGGGCTTACGCTTCGCACAACTCACGGGAAACATGTCATTGACGCGGTACACCAAAATATGTCAGCGCAGTTGTGTCATAAGTGGCGATGGTTGCCACCGCGCTTGAGCCCACGAAAGTGGCGCCAATTAATTACCCAGGAGGTATAGTATCCCTGGGGGGGGCGCGAGGTCTGTTCTGGGTGGACGTAGGACCTCACTTGCGCCAGGCCTTCCGGGAACCCGCAAACGTGGCGCCAACTGTGCAGGTGGCAGCACACCCAGAGCCTCAAAATCTCGTCCGGGTGCGCGCAGGACCCCACTACGCTAGGCCTCCAAGGAGTCCACGAAAGCGGCGACGGTTGCGCAGGATCTGTATAGGTATTTGCATGTTTCCACATCAGTGCCATAATCACCTCTGAGTGTGTAGCTTCTTGTTTGCTTACTTGCTGGCTTCGTTTGACGGCGGAGCGGTGCTTCCAGCAGCTCGTGAACTGCCTTACGCGACGCGTGCATTATAGCATTAGTGAGGGTGTGGGATTGCGAGGTACGTGCGGCTTGTTGCTGTCGTGCGAGGCTCAAAGAAAACTGAAGCGCCAATCTGCTGGCACTGTATCGTGCTCCATCGGGAGGAGAAAGAGAACGAGAGAGAGAGAGAGCAGGAGGAGGAAGCGACTCCACAAGAGGATGACAGTTTGGGATCCCCCAAACCAGGTGGTGACATGATACCCGAGAAAAACCCAAACAAAACCTGTTTATGGCTACAGTGCCATGGGGCTATTGGGCTGTAGGGCGACGGGGCTATGGAACTATAGGGCAATAGGGCCATAGGGCTACAGGTCTATAGGGCTATAGGGCTATACGGGCATAGGGCTACATGGCTGTAGGGCTATAGGACTATGGGGCTATGGGGCTCTGAGGCTCTGGGGCTGTAGGGCCATAGGGCTATGAGTCTATAGGGCTAAGGAACATAGGGCTATAGGGATATAGGGTATAGGGATATAGAGCTGTAAGGCTAGAGGGCTATAGGCATATAGAGCTATACGGCTATAGGGATGTAGGGCTATAGGGCTATAGGGCTACAGGGTTATAGGTCTATAGGTATTTTGGGCTATAAGGCAATTGGGCTATAGGGCTATATGACTATAGGGCTATGGGACTATGGGGCTATGGGGCTCTAGGGCTCTAGGGCTATAGCGCTATAAGTCTATAAGGCTATAGGGCCACTGGGCTATTGGGCTATAGGGCTATGGGGCTAAAAGGCTATAGGGCTATAGAGTTATAAAGCTATAGGATTATAAAGCCACACGGCTATAGGGCACCTGGGCACCCGGGCGGGCCGCGGAAATCGGCGGCAAAGCTCACCTAACCATATGAATCCGCTAGGACCCGTACAGAGGCAAGCTCTGATTGGGGAATATCAAATGGTGACCTTGCATCCCCCAATTTTAGAACACGGGGTCACCGCCGGGTTCTGTGACTCCTGGACCCACCAACGTTCGGGACATCCTCGAACAACCACAATAATCCCCAAACCAAATGGTGACGCCAAATCGCCCGAGACTCACCGCCGGGTGTTGTCACCACCAAGTTTGGGGACTACCAAACAGTGGAGGCGAGGAGCGGAGCAGGAAGAGCAGGAGCCCAGCATTCGGGGACTACCGAGTAGGAAGAGTCCAGAGCCCAGCATTCGGGGAGGCGGAGCAGAACCCTGGAGACCGCCAGCTCCCTGCCGGGGAACGGGTGGGCCTCGGAGCGGTCAGCGTGCGGCCATTTACGGCGGGCGGGGACAACTCAGCCGCGTCCAGCGGCGCGCAGGAGTGGCTCGGGGGCGAGGGGGGCGGCAGTCTGAGAAGGCCCCCTCCACGTCTTCGCGGGCATGGGGAGCACGGCAAAACAAGCGCGATTTCCACTACTCGCAGAATAACTACGCGCAAACGGCTTGAATCCGCCGCCAGGGATTTGCGATCCATTACATAGAGGAAGACACGTGCGTTTCGGACGTTTGCGAGTAGGCACTTCGCGAGTAGTGGAACGCGCTCGGTGAATGGCTACAGGACCAAAAAACATCATAAACATAAACTTTTGACGCTCCGCGCGGATTCTTTTGATCTGCGCTGAACCCCCTCCCTGGCGAAAAGAACGCGCCAGGGGCGGCGCCGGAGGCGCCGCCAGGGGGTCCAAGCGCAGATCCAAGAAGTCCGCGCAGACCGCCAAACATTTATGTTCATGCCCGTGTTTGTTCTTCGAATGGCTTTGAGGGGAGCGATCCCTTGCGATAACCCCCTCCGCCTTCTGTAGAGGGCAGGAAATCCACCCCCATAATGATCACCCCGACAAGCGAAGCCGTTAGTAAACGCACCCAGGGAAGGAATCGAACAGGGCAAGGCTGTTCAGTAAACGCTCAGGGCCGTTTAGTAAACGCTAATTGTCGGGTCTGGGTGTTTTTTCCCCCCTTGAATGAGTCACAATCAAAACTGGCAGCAATGATGCGCGGTAAGGATGCAAGCCCCGATAGGCCAGGCCATCGAAAGTAGTCGAAGATGGAACAAGGAGACACGGATGCAAGGGTATGGGAAGGTAACCCATGCTTACCATCGGTTTCGACTGCACTTGCTGTCTCCGGGTGGGCGCTAATGCGGGGGCAGTCAATGGGGGGGTGAACGACAGGTGCCAGAAAGGTTCATTCAAGTGACCCTCCATTGCCACCCCGCGTCCAGGACATGCTGGACGACATCTGTCTTTTCCTTCACGTCCTCCTTCACGTCCTCATCCAAGTCTTCCTCTGCCACCTCCTCCATCTCTCTCTTCCTGCGGCTTCCCTCTCTCTCTCTCTCCCTCGCCTCCCTCCTCCCTCCTCCCTCCTCCCTCCTCAGTCCTCCCTCCACCTCCTCCTCCTCATCATCATCAATTTTTTCCTCACACATACCTCCTCCTTTGGCACCCACAGACGTGTTGGTAGGGCGGGCTGGGCGTTCCGCCTGAGACTTCCTCACCCTGCGTGATCCTGAATTTGGCACTTCGCCGCAGTTTCAACGATGGACGCCGGGTCCTTTTCAAAATGTGGCTCTCGCCTAGCGACGCGCACATTTGTGTTAATAGTTTGCAGCCGTTTCAAGGATGGAGGGCAGGTGGTCATCAAAATGTGGCCCTCTCACTAGCGCCGCGCAGATTCGTCTTTAAAGTTTGCAACAGCTTCAAGGATGAAGGGCCTGTGGTTTTCAACATGTGGCCCTCGCCTTAGCACCGCACGCATTTGTCTCAAACATGTTCAGCAATTACACGGATCCGTAGAGATGAAGTCACAAGAATGGCGGTCTGGGACGATTTAGGATTATCCGGAAGCAACATTCATGGTGACTCGCGCTGGTATGGCGTTCTGGTTAGGATTGTCAGGACACAGTCACGTTGATTTGCGACGTTGGAGTTCCAAACATGTTTTTCCCCAGCCCTCCTTGGTTGGGTATTCGTTTTGAATAGAGGACTGTGGTCGCGTCCTTCTCCCGCCTCCCTCCTGCCCGTCTTGCCTCGAGGGGGGGGAAGCTGCGATCTGTGAAACCGTCGCCACTTCCGAGGTTGCTGGGGGGTCCAACACAATGACGTCCTACGCAAATCCAAACGGGACCTCGCCATCCCTGGTGGGCTGCGATCTTTGAAACTGTCGCCACTTTCGAGGGCTGTTGGGGGGTCCAGCACAATGACGTCCTACGCAGACCCACACGGGACCTCGCCATCCCTGGGGGGCCGCGATCTGTGAAACTGTCGCCACTTTCGAGGGCTGCTGGGGGTCCAGCACAGTGACGACTTACGCAAATTCAAATGGGACCTCGCCATCCCTGGGGGGCCGCGATCTGTGAACCTGTGGCCACTTTCGAAGCCTCCTGGGGGGTCCAGCACAGTGACGACTTACGCAGATTCAAATGGGACCTCGCCATCCCTGGGGGGCTGCGATCTATGAACCTGTCGGCACGTTCGAGGTCTACTGGGGGGTCCAGCACAATGACGTCCTACGCAGACCCACACGCGACCTCGCCATCCCTGGGGGGCTGCGATCTGTGAAATTGTCGGCACTTTCGAGGCCTGCTGGGGGGTCCAGCACAGTGACGACTTACGCATATTCAAATGGGACCTCGCCATCCCTTGGGGGGGCTTCGATCTGCGAAACTGTCGGCACTTTCGAGGTCTGCTGGGGGGTCCAGCACAGTGACGTCCTACGCAGACTCAAATCAGACCTCGCCATCCCTTGGGGGGGCCGCGATCTGCGAAACTGTCGGCACTTTCGAGGTCTGCGAAACTGTCGGCACTGTCGATTATTCAGCAAATTGGGCACTTCCCGTAATAAACATAGATTTCCCGAGGGACCTGTGAAGAGGAACTTCGAGGGAGGGTGTACTGGAACATCATTCATGCGCCTTGGTTTTATACTGGTCCTCCCCCTCCTCCTCATCCTCCTCTTCATTCTCCTCAAAAAGCTTATGCAGAACGGGTGGTTACCCTGCAAGCTCGAACATGAACCTGTCCATGGAATACCCCGCTAAGGACGAAACATAGACCTCCTCGTAATACTCCAACTCGTCCTCTGTGAAGCCGGCCTTCTTCCGCTCCTTCTGCACGAATTCCTCCCGGATGGAGTCGATCACCCCCACAAGGTCGTCAAAGGAAAAGCTGTCAAATGCTTCCAGGAGCTCCATATTGGCAGGCCGACCCTGGTCGAGGGCGGCGAGTGCATCGCCGATCTTCTTGCCAGGCATCTTGCCCTGCATGGTCGCCTTGGAGTTGAACACCCCCCTAACCTTCTGGAGGTCCTTCTCGCGCATCAGCCTGCGCGCAGGCCCCCCCAGGATTCCAGGACATGCGCAATGGAAGACCTTAGGTGGCGACGTCCGAATCCAACCACAGCCAACCATCGACTCTCCCGAGTCGATGGGAGGCGGCGGGTATAGGATTCGGACTTCGCCACGCACTCGACGAATTGCAACCCTGCCAATGCCGCCCATCGACTTTCCTGAACCGTTGATCGGCGAGAGTGGGATTCGGATTCCGCCGCCGAGACCCAGCACCTCAGCCCTCAGAGTGGCCAAGGCCTCGGCAGGGATGCATCGTGACGCCAATATTTGACGATAGCATGTGGAACGCCTCCCAACACAAGCTCACCTGGGGCGCAGATCCCGAGTCCGCTCACCGACTGCACGACGCCTTGGAGCGGTCACTACCGTATGTGGAGATCAAACCCGATTATGTTTCTGTAGCCATGGCCAAAAGATTCACCGAACGGACCATTCCATTATCTGCGGCAACTATGGCACTTGACCGAGAGGTCGGAGAGCTCCGTCCGCCCTTGAGCGGAACATGAACAAGGAACCGTCTTGAAATAACGCGCCCGATCCGCGCAGGCAGGATCAACACTTCCAGGCTACTGGAGCGCACACCACACTTGGGCGAAGATGGGCGGAGGACGAAAGTGACAGCGTTTCATAAAAGAACACATCCGCTTCTCATATGCTGGGTCACCACAGCCAAACAGTTCGGGCGCGCGGCGCTTTCACGAAAGCACGACAGGATCGTGGCCTGCATGGGAATTGCAGTGCAAAGCTCACAGAAAAGCCACGTGAATCCTTTTCGCGAGATTGGTCCAGAAGCAAGGACCCTTCGCGCGCGCGCTAACTGATGTGAACACTATGGGTTTCGTGCATGCGAGATCGTGCGGGTGATTCGATCATGCAATGGATTGGTCGACGTTTTGGTGGGTGACGAGATAGGTGAATGATGGTGAATGGGTGGGCTCACAGGCAAGTGCATCGACCGACATCTTGAACGTCTAAACGCATGCGAGCGAAGGAGACGTATTGGCTTAGCCCTTAACTGGTGTGGGCCTCAGCAGGCGCAAGAACTCCCGCTCGTCGAGCTGGCCGCTGTTGTCCTCGTCCACTGCCAGAATCAACGTGTGCGACTCGGAGCTGTTCAGCCCATAACCTCAGAGCGCAAGGAGCTTTCCCCTCCTGCTTCCCCTACTCCTCCGCTTCCTTGTGTTCTCATTCCGCAGGGAGCTCGTGATGGACGAGGACGCGCGATCGGTGGCCGAGATCTCGAGCAATTCAGAACAAGGAGGTGGAGGGCGGGGAGCAGGGGGTAGAGGAGGGAGAGGGGGAGGAGGGAGGGGCGAGGGAGATACAAGACGGGGGCAAAGCGAGGTACCGCTATGGAGCGACATGGCGATCGCTCGAGAAACTGGGCAGTCCAACGCGGGGCCGCGGCAGCGCGGCGGCCCTCATTTAGAAAGGGGCGCCTCGGAGGATCTGGTACGGCCCCCCTCGCGCCTGCCGTGCCGTGGATGCCTCTGGCTGCAGTGCAGGAGGAGAAACGAGATCATTAACGAGGCGGGTAGCGGTGAAGAACACATGCCTTGGTTGTAATACTCGCCACCGTGCCGCAAGCACTGACACTGAGCGGAGTCTCCTCGAGCCTCGTCGGGTCTTCTATCCGCCACCGCGCCTGCGCGATGGTGGAGGGAGAAAATGGTTATCGGTCCCCCCCGAGTTTATACAATTTTCCACGGACGACCCCCTTACAAAACTCAAACTCTGAAAACCGCCCCAATTAAAGTTCTTCGTCGGCGTCTGTTTCGGCCTCCGGACGGCTGCAAGACGGCCAACGGCCGCCACAAAGTGGCTGCAAGAAGCCCGATGACCAGCCCAAGCCACACCGACGATCCCCCGAAGGCTCCAGGATGTATATTGCCAAGAAGCTGCAAGATGTCCCAGGAAACCCGCAGGAGACACCCTACGTCGCCTCCAGCGAAGCCAGAAGAGCCCCCCCAAATGAAAACGCCAAGCAATACCTGCTGTTTGCGCCCAACGGACTTTCGGTTTCTCAAATCTCTTGCACCATGCTCCTCGAGGCTTCAAAGCCGCTCCCATAAGGTTCCAAGTGGCCACGGAACTTCCACAGGACGCCTCCAAGAGGACAAAAACCTACACCCCCCAAACGTGATTTCGGCCTTTTCGCCTTTTTGTTTTCGATAGGGTTTTGGGCGCCTCAAGGTGGCTCCGGAGGGTTCCAAGACGGCCCAAAATCCATGAGTGCCCCAAGAGGATCCCAAGAGGCGAGCTTAGGGGCTCTCGGGAGGGGTGGGGTAGGGCCCCGCTCTTTTTTGATCGATGTCATCCTGGATGGCACCAAGGGGGCCCCCCGAGAAGGCGGCGGGACTTCTCAGAAGCCCTCGCGCCTTCTGGGAAGTTCTTTCTGTATTCGGAGAAGGCTCAGACAACCTCTCAGAAGGCCGGGGGACTTCCGAGCTTTCTGAGAAGGTCCGCCCCTTCTCAGTCTCCCCCCTCGTTCGCCGCCGATCAATCAGTGCACCAAAGTGGTCCCGAGAGCGCCCAGACGGGTTCCACGAAGTGACCTACTTGTCGGGCCGCACGGGGAGAGGCACCGTTCGGGGGCCCGCCTTTTTCCCTCCTCCTCCGCAGCGAGGCGTCACGGCCGCCTCCGTGCTGAACAGCCTCCTGACCATCCTCGATTCACTCCTGGTCATCCTCGTCTGAAGGGGCCCAAGAACACGAACAAATACACACGAATCCCAGGATCCCCCATCTTCTGCAATATTTTCTGGGTCTTCGTCTTCCCCCTCACCTCAAGCATTTTCCCTTCATCTCACGACGTTGGTAGATGCTTTGCCCCAGCATTAATGGGGGCAAGTGTACCCCCAGCCCACCAGGGAAGGAACCACCAAAATTCGTCCCTGTGAGCACCCACCCAAACTTCCGTGCTGGCCGCTGCCTCGGGAAACGGGAGCTGAGGTGGCGGCCGCGCACCGGCCGTAGCTTAGTCCTTCGCCGCGGCGCGCGCGTCGTGACGCGGAACGGGCGGGTGGGCGGGAATCTCGTCGCGGCCAGCGCGATGGTGCGCTCGCAAGAGACGCGCCGCACTGCGGCGGTTGTCGTTCGGTCGTGCGCCGCGCCGCGCCCTGCACGGCGCCCTGTCGCGGAACAGCAGGCCCAACGGCCCCGTAAGGTGCCGTCTGCCCTGCGACGGCCCGAGCCTTGCACGGCGCCCTGCCAAGGAACGGCAGGCACTCGGCCCCGCGGGGACGTGACCCCCCGAGCCTTGACCCAGCGACACAGTTGGCGCCGACGAAGCCAGGCAAGGCCGCCTGCGGTGAGTGGCCAGCACACCCGGAGCTGGCCATTCGCTGTTCGTCCCCGACGTGTAAAGCACCCGCGTCCCTAGATCGCCCGTTTTCCGAAAGGCTCCGCCCTCATCCAAACAGGGTGATTTCCAGGGAATCGACGATTCATTGTGTCTGTGCTTGTCCCCTTATGATCGTCATACTGACAACCCTACCGTCTTCATCCTCTCCCTCACTTGATGAGGCACCCTCGTAGACAACTCACCCGTGGTCCTGCTCGGCTTGCTCGCACGCTCTCTCTTAGAGAGAGATGGCCCGCGTCAATGGGCGAAGACCTTACGGATAGGACTCCAACGGTGCCAATGGGGGCCTCAACATGTACGCTTCACAGTAACTGACGGGACCCGCGGCGCACCCGACTCGCTACTACAAGCTCCCTGTAATCAATCACGGAGGAGGTATTCCTGGCGCCGAGCAATCCCACTTGAAATGAAAAACGAGACCACCAGACCGCACAGACGCCCCCAAGATGGTTCAGCCGAGCCTCTTCGGGAGAGCTCGGTAGAAACCTTCGAGCTTAAGATTACCCCGAGAACCCTTACGGTCCCCCCAGATTCCCCGCATAATCCTCCAAGATGAATGAAGAGGGGGAGAACCAGGCTGCGGGGATGGGGTGTTTAAGATCCGCGCTAGCTCAGACAAAGCAATGGGCTGGAACAGGTCTTAAACTTAACCTCTTTCCTGCGGCGCTACCGTGCTGGCGCTACTCTGCTGATACAGGCAGCTGCTGGTGTAAAGCTTGTTAGCGTGATCTCAAAGAACGGATCGCACTGTCAGGATTCATTGATGGGATTTCACTACCACAAAACACAATATTGAGGATGCAACACGCTCTTGCGTAGATCCAGTGCGCATTTAATCCAGGCTGCACTTGCATTATTGTTTGTCTGGTCCCCCTGTTCTAGCCTGCCGCCGCTGCAATTGGTACAGCATGGACGCGCAAGGGTTTCAAATCCTGACCTTGCATTGCTATTCACAAGTTTGGCCGTACAATTGATTGATTACCCTGATATGCTCTGTCGACCACTTCCTAATGATTGCCTATGCCTGTTGATGCGTACTGCACGCTAAGGACAAACACGCTTGAGCCCCGATGCCATCGCTGAAACACTGACTGGCACACTCGACGACCAAGCCAAGACGAAGATAAAGTCGAGTGAAGATACATCGAGAATCTCCAAAATCCGGCGGCTCTGGAGAATGTCTCGGGCGCCGCACCTTCGCAGAGCGCGTTCTGGAACGCTCTGAGAGCGTTCCGGAACGCTCTGGAACGGATTTATCCTCGTCCTGGCCCCGTCCGACACTCGCCAAAAAATCGCTAGCCTACCTACCCCGAGCGAACTCCGGCCAATCGAATATCTAGACACAGGCGACCCCTGGCGGTCTCTGGGCTGTCCCTCGCGCGGTCTCTGGTTGCCTTGTGCTGTCGGTCGTTGCCTCTGGCCAAAAGTTGCGGGCCCTCTGGAAGAGTAAGAAAAGAGAAACCGAAATCTCTGGCTGGGAGATCAGACACTACAACCTTGTTCTGAAGACCATGGTATCGACTCCTGCGATCCCCTACTTACGGCCGCTCGATCCGACACTGACAGTAGCGCTGGGCCACAAATCTCAGAGCTGCTAAACAAGTTTCGACACGTTTCTTCAAGAGGAATCGGTCAGGAGGTAGAATCGTAGTACGCCGTCAGCGGCCTTCGGAATGCAGATCATCGTGGCTGAGCCCAAGGCCGAGCCAGCGCAACATCTTGCTGAGCTCGAGAACGCTGATCTCTCCCGAGGTGTCCTTGTCAAACTGGGTGAAAAAATCTTCAAATCGAACGATATCAGCCTTGCAGAAACCGTCGCGCTGGTTCTGCAGTATGATGAAATCGAAGAGCTCGGCAGCGTCCAGCTCGTAGTCCTGCCTCCAGCCGCTCACCACTTCCTGCCAGTCGGCACCGCGGCATGGAGGATTACGAAGAGGAGGAGTACGAGGAGGACGAGGAGGCAGCGTCGACCGAGTGAACAACACCCTGGTCCCCTCGTTACCTCTTGTCGGTCGGCACCGTGGGCTGCGGGGGCGACACCGAGCAAGATAAGCCAGCTCACGCAACGCCGTGAAGACTCCCTCCCCCCTCTCTCTCTCTCTTTCTCTCTTTCTCTCTCTCTCTCTCTCTCTCTCCTGCGCGTCTGTATACATATATATATACACACATCTATATATATATATATATATATACACACACACACAAGGCCAAGCGCGCGTTTCGCGCGCTTTCTAGCAGCCCCCCACCCTCGACAAACGTACAACTGCATGTACTGTGCGATCCCTGCCGCCGTCACCCCGCCTTTCGGAGCATCCTGGGGGCATGTTCGGGGTCTCCTGGGCCCGACTGGGGCAACTCTGGGGAACCGGTTGGAACCTCCTGGCGGCCTCTTTGGGGGTCTGTTTGAACTGCCTGAAAACTCGTCGGGATGGAACACTTGATGTTTCGGTCTCCGTTACCCCTCTGGGGGGCCTCGGGGGGCGTTCTTGGGGCCTTTGTGTGCCATCTTGGAGGCCTCTTGGGCCGTCTCTCTGGTCTCCAAGTGCCTTCCTGGTGCCTTCTTGGGGGGCCTCGGAGGCCGTGGTGGGGCGAGTTTGGGGGCATCTGGGGCTGTTGTGGAGCGTGGGGGGGTGAGCTTCTTTCTAAGAGTCTCACCAGCCCTTTGGGCTACGGTGGTCTAGCGAATTCTATCTTTCAAAAACACTCGTCCCTTCGGGGAAAGGTCCCGTCGCCTTCCCCTCCCTGAGTTGTTGTTTTTTTTGTTTGGGGGGGAGCGGCGCGAGGTGTCAGGGCGCCCAAGATGCCTCAAGATGGCTCCAAGAGGGCCTCCGATGCTCCAAGATGGCCTCCAAAAAGGCTAGAGAATTCTGGCGAGGGTTCAATATAGCTTCCGGCATACCTCCAGGAAGCCCGACGGGAAGCCCCTTCCCTTTGATCTCTCCCCTGTCGGGGGGGAGGGGGGTCCTGGGGTAAGGGGGGGTGGGCTCTGGGGGGGGTCCAATACGCATACCCCCCTGGGGTCCTGTGGCCTCAGGAAAGACCACGACAAGCCATGAGTGCCCCAAGAGGCCCCCGAGAAAGTCCAAGAGGGCCCCCAATCGCCAAGGCATCGGTCCGAAACGCCTTCGCGCCGTCCAGACTGCCCAAGAAGCCGCCAAGACGCCCCAAGAAGCCTCCAAGAGCACTCCCGAGAAGGCCCCACGAAGCAAAATGCATTGAGTTACTTCTCTTTATACAAAAAAGACTTGGCCGTTCTCGCCGTTTCCGCTGCTCCCCGCCGCTCCAAGACGGCCCATGATGCCGCCAAGATCACCCCGCTGCGGCTCAAGAGGCCTCCAAGAGGGCCCCCGAACAGCCCAAGAGGGCCCCCAAACAACCACACAACGCCTCCAAGACTGCCCAACATGCCCCCAAAACGGCTCCCAGAGCGTGCCCAGACGGGAGGCCCGAACGGACATGTCGAGCCCTCGGCCCCGAGAGGCTCCCAGGAGGCCCCAAGAGGCTCCTAAGAGGACCCAGAAGGCCCACAAGAGGTCCCCAGGAAGTCCGCAGAGACCCCAAGAGGCTCCCAAGAGGCCCCCAAAAGACTTCCAAAATGCCCTAGAATTCCTACCCAGAGGCACCCGAGAGCTTTCCGAAGAGACCCCAAGAAGCATCCGTCTGGCCCACGTCAGCGTCGTCATCGTCGCCGTCGTCGCCGCCGCCGCCGCCGCCGTTGTCGTCGTCGTCCCCCTTCAGGGTCGGCGGTTTCCGCCGCGAGGCCGTCGCAATCCATGATGTTTGACTTCTCGCCTTTTCGCATCAGATGCGATTTCGATGTTTCAGGATGCCCCCAACGCGGCCTTCGAGAGGCCCAAGAAAAGCCCAAGAGGCCCCCAGACGGCCCCAAGAGCGCCCAAGAGCGGCCCCGAAGCGCCCTCAGAGGCGATGTTGATGGCCCCAGGGGGGGGACGCAACTCTGGGACCCCACTTTGATCGATTGCCTCCAAGATGGCCCCAAGAGGCCCTCCAGGGCTCCAAAGGGACGGACTCCCAAGAGGGCTCCAAGAGGGCCCCAATACCCCCAAAAGAGCCCCAAAAGGACCCAAAGATCCCCCCAAAGAGTATCAAGAAGGCTACAAGAGGCGCTGTTGGTGGCTCTGTCCTCGTCCTCGTTGTCCTCCTCCTCATCGTCCTCGCCCTCGCCCTCATCGTCTTCGTTTTCCTGTTCCTCATCCTCCTTGTGGTGGTGGTCGCCGTCGTCTTATGATTGTTCGCCTTCTTCTTCCTCATCCTCCTACTGTTCCTCCTCCCCCTCATGTTCCTCCTGTTCCTCCTCCTCCTCCTCCTCCTCCTCCTCCTCCTCCTCCGTCTCCTCCGTCTCCTCCTCCTCCTCCTCATTCCCTCGCCGACGTGCGCCTCCCGAGCCCGAAGGGGCCCTCCAAGGCCACCCCCTTGCCCCCAGAGATCGCTCCGTTCACCCTGGCTGCCCGTTTCGTGTCACTACAGTCGAGTCGTTGACCTAAGGAACTCTAAATAAGGAACGGGGCCCCTTTCTTCCAGAAGTTAAACTTCGACTTCGTATCGAAAACTTGAGGAAAACCTTAGGCAAGGTGTGGAACAATTAAGGGACACCGAGCCCCTCCCAAACGAAAAGGGTTCCTTCGTCAGCGCCCCGACTGTACATGGGTGGCTTCGTACCTTTTCCAGTTCACTGTCATGGGCAAGGTTCTTGGATGGGCTGGTGGGGATGCGCGAAGCGTGAAGACCTATGTGTTAGCGAGGTGGTGCATATTTGGGCTGTCATGGAGGTGTCCTGGGGCGTCTGTGGGGCCTTTTGAGCAGTGTGGGCGTCCTCTTGGGGGCCTCTGAAATAGTCTTGGGGCGAGCTGTTGTGCATCTGGGGCTGACCTGGAGCGTCGGCGAGCCGATAATGCGGAAGCCAGAAAAACCGTCCACGACATTTGGAACACCAATGATGTGTCCCGCGTGGGGCCCTCTTGGGGAGCGTTCGGGAATCGTCTGGAAGCGTTCTGGGAGCGTTGCAAACAGTCTGGAAGCCGTCGAGGAGCGCCTCGAAGGCGGTGTGGGGAACGTGGGGGCCGTAGTGAGCGCCTGGGAGTGATTTCATGCGATTCGGGAACTTCTTCGGCCGTCCTCCAAGAGGCCTCCCAAGAGGGCCTCAAGAGACCCAAATAATTGATGTTCCAGAAATTAATGTAGGATTTGGGAATGTTCGCCGTTTCGGCGTTCCGACGCCCCACTGCGGCCTAAGAGGCCCCAAGACCAACCCATTAGTGCCCAAGAACCCTCCAAGAGGGCCCCAAGGCGGCCTACGAGCGCCCCAAGACTGCCCAAGAGGCGCCCAAAACAGCCCAAGAGGGCCCACAGGCGGCCCCAAAGAGGCCCACCGGAGGCTCCAAGAGGCGCCTAGGAGGCTCCAAGATGCCTCCAAGAAGCCTCCAAGAGGTCCCAAGAAACCCAAAAGGTAACCCCAAGAGGCCCCCAAACGGCCCCCAAGAGACCTCCAAGAGGCCCCCGAGAGGCCTCCCAAGAGATCCCAACGACCATCCAACATACTTCACACCCACAACCCACGCATGGTGGCGGGATGGGCCGAGAGCCACTCTATATGTGTATGTTTGTTTGTATGCATTCATGTGTGCATAATATATATATGATATAATATTAATAATACTAATAATATTAATACTAATACTACTAATATTAATAATAATACTAATAATATTAATAATAGTAATAATAATAACAATAATAATAATAATAAAATTAATAATAATAATAATAATAATAATAATAATAATAATAATAAGTATATCTGACCATGGCCGTCGCCCCCCCCCTGAACTCACCATAATAATCTCCCGTGCCCCCATCCCGTAAGTCAATCTTGCAAGATCACGTGCCCTGACCGTTAATGAACCGTGGACTAAGCTGAAATGGTGATGAGGGGTTAAGAAACCAATGGTGAGGATGACGATTGCGGGGCCGATAGGGTTTAGCGGAGCGAAGGGGGCGTGCACAGTCTAGGAGGAGGGTGGATGATGGGGATGATTTAGGGTACATGGGGACGGTCAGTGAAGATAGGGATAATGAGGGAGGGCGGTTAAGGATTCAGAGAGATCTCGCGTGAGGATGAGACTGAGAAGATATGACGTACTGTGGAAGGAGGGTTAAGGATTAGGGCGGATGGTGAGTGAGAGTTGGGAGGGTGAGGGAAGATGACTGGGAGTAGGGTTTGGGAGTAGTGCCGACAAGAGGGATTGAGGCGGATTCCTGGGAGGGAAGAGGAAAAGCGGATACTTGAAAGGAAACGGATGAGTCGTACTAGGAGGGACGACGAGGAGGAACTCGAAGGAGGGTTGAGGAGGGAGTCGTGGAGGGTTGAGGAGGAGGGTTGAGGACCGAGGTTTGGTGGAGATGGTGAAGCTAAGGGGGGCGGGTGGGAGGATGAGGACTAGCGATGCGAAGCGCGAAAGTGGTAATGCAATGTAGCATGACAGGGGGGAGAATACGGAGGATTGGGAAGCATGACAAGCAGCAAAATGATGGGGACGCGTGTGAGGACAATGAAAATGATGTTGGCAACGGCGATGACGATCATGATAACAATGGATGTGCATTGCAATGCCACGAATTCGTAAACATTACCAGCACATGTCATCCGCATTTGCTCACGCAGGGACGTATCTGTGCACATCTGTGTTTATATGTATACACACAGCGCGTCATCATTCTGATCGTTTCTTCCTAGGTGAGACACGAGCAAGCTCATCGAACCCCAACGGGCACGAGGAGGAGGAGGAGGAGGAGGAGGAGGAGGAGGAGGGGGCTGACGGGGCAAAGAGGACAAGGAAAAGGAGAAGATAACTTATTTGGGGGACGGTCACAGGAGTACCATGGTAAAAAGGAAGCATAACGAAAAAGAGGTCGTCAATTGAGCCTGGAATTGCGACGCCGTCTAGGCAACTGCACTCGCACGCACTGAACTCGTGTGGCCGTCACTGACTCCACGCGCACTGAGATGGACTCGCATAGAGGTGCGCTCATACTCGCCCCGACTGGACTGGCACGAGCTCAACATGACCAAACCCGAACGGACTCTACTCGCACGCGGAATACGGCGAAACTCTGAGAACTGACACCTCGCGTGCGAGCGGATTGGTGCGGGTGACATGCGTGCGAGTGGAGCTGCGTGCGAGTGAAACTCATTCGAGTCAAATGAATGCCGGTGAAAGCCGTTCCGCCTGAAGCCTGGCTGGGAAAACGTCCGCACCCGTGGCCATCCGTGGTCCCCTGCGTCTCAACAATGCTGCCGCTCAACACAAAGCCTTGGATGCGAACGCAAACACACACAAGCAACAACAACTGGGCTGCCGCCCCGCGTGGCCCCCTGCTTCCTCAGCAAAGCTACGGAACTGCCCCCATGCCGATCTCAAAGCTTTGGATGCGAACGGCAAACACGCACATAAACAGCAACAGCTGGGCTGCCGCCCCTCGGTCCTCCAGCATCTCGACCATCACCTGCTTCAGGGGCGTGTACCCTCTGGAAGCCAGGTAGTGCCTGAGGTTCTCGAAGGTGACGGTGTTCTTTCCAGGATCCAGCGGCACCTTCCGACGGATCCACGAGACCCACGGCTCGTTGACAAGTGCGACCCTAATGATCTGACGCCGAACGGTCCTGAATATCGGCACCGATGAGGCAAATAATGAATGATACCAGCGGGCTCGCGTATGCAATTTTGGGGGTGCACCTTATGTTGCGCGACGCATGGGGTGCAATCTATGGGGTGCAACTGATGGGCTGCATTTCAGCGGGCAACTCAAGGGGTTGAACTTGAAGGGCTCAACGCATGGGGCACAGATTATGGGGTGCAGCCCATTGGTTGCAACTGATGACGCGCAGTGTCTGGAACATAAGTAATGGTGAATCACTTAAAATCGTCAACTCTACTGATCGTGCAAGCATCCCATCCTCCCACCTGCAACTCGTTGGCAACCCCATACAGGCCGTGAGTGCATATACCAATCGGCGAATTTCGAACGGCGCAGAAACGCGCGGGTCGTGCTCGTGCAAATCTACAACTCGGCCGGGCGGCTGATACTGTTGACGACGATGGAGATTATGGTGGCGGCGGTGGCGATGATGTTCACGATTGTGCGGATGATGATGGTGAGGAAATGCTCTCGCGTGCGGAAATTTAACTGCTGAGATGTGTTCGCTGTGATTGTGCGCGTTTCAACATATGCTGAACTGCTTCGAAAGCAACGTTGACTCGAAATAATTCCGGCGCGCGCGGAGACGCGCGCGCGTGCGACCCGCCAGATGGGGTGCCACGACTGCGGCTCCCGACTTGAACTTGCTAGCGCATCTTTACGGCCGCACTGGCGCGCGTACCCTCACGCTCAGATCGGCCAGCTGGCTTGGCACAGCTGATGCGGCCGCGATGACGCTTCCCGATGGGAACTTCCCAGCGCGTCTCAAAGGCCGCACTGGTGCGAGGACACTTCAGTGCGGGTCGGTGACTCGGGCGGGCGCCAGCCACGGCATGATGACGCCGACAACGCCAGCAACGATGATGATAACAGCGATGGTGGCGGCAACGAGGATGACGAAGACGACGGCAAGGCAAATGACGAAGACGATGCTGGTGACGACGATGACGATGATGATGTCGACCATGGCGGCCGTTGACGATGACGATGATGCCAGTGATGCGATGGCGCTGATGACGATGATGAGGAAGTGCTCGCTTAGAAAGTCAAGACATCTGGCAGGAGCTCTAAATTAATATAGTTCAAAAATACATGAGTGGAATAACTTCGACACACGCGCATGGCGGCGCGCGAATGTGGGCCGCATGGTGTGATTTGATACGAATTCGTGCACTGTGCGCATGCTAAATCAACGAGGGTGCACTGCCTGGTAGTGAGATGAAGATACCGGTTCTGGACGAGATTGCTAGAATATGCTTGTTTTCATCTGATTTCAGCAAGTGCGCGCGAACAGAAAATCTGCAAGATGCTTGATGAAAAGCCCATGGGATTTGATGAACTGCTTGCAGAGCTACATAATGTGTTTGGTATGCTTTGAGGGCGCGATTCCCATCGAACACCTGCTCAACAACCGCGACGGCGGGGGCCGGGAAGGGCCCCCCCTCCCCCTCCCCATCCCCATGACAAACGAAAAGGGGAAAGAATTTTTCGAGTGCCAGGCTGGCACTCTAGTCTCTCTCCTTCCCGCGCGCTGAAAGGCCCCCTTCCCCACCCTGCGCTCGAGTCTCTCTCTCCTTCCCGCGCGCTGGGGGGGGAAGCACTCGAACCTCTCTCTCTCTTTCTCTCTTTCCATGCCACTCGATGCTACTCTACTCGGCACGTGACAACGCACGAGGGACGAGACAAGGCGAGTCTAGCGTAGTCGCCACGTGGCATCGCAGCGCGGCGGAAGACCTGCCACTCTACTACACTTGCCAATGCAGCGGGCTGGACCAAATACCTTTCAACTCTACTCGTCGCGCGGCCACGGCTGGAGGGGCGAAACAAACATGATTCCATTGCACTCGCAAAGTGGCCACGCAACGGGCTGGAAACAAACATTCCATTCAACTCGGGCGGGGCGGGACAAATACCGATCCACTCGACTCTTCCCGCGGCAACGCCTGGGGGGCGAAACAAAGGTTACTCCAATGTCTTCGTCAAGTGGCAAAGCAGCAGGGCGTCAAAAAGGCCTCTTCTACTGTACTCGTCACGCGGTAACGTCAGGGAAACGAAAAAACAGACCATGGCTGCCACCCTACTCGACACGTGGCAACGCCCAAGAGGCGAAACAAGAATGTTCCATCATACTCGCCATGTGGCAACGCAGCGGGCGAGAAAACATACCATTCCACTCGACTCGCACGCGGCAACGCCTGAGAGCAAAACACTTAGCATTCCATTCCATTCGACATGTGGCAACGCAGCGGTACGGAAAAACAGCTATTCGACTTTACTCGTCACGCGACAAAGCCTGGAGAGCGAAAGAAAGACCATGCCACTCTACTCGGCACGTGGCAACGGACGAGGGGCGAAACCAACCTATCACGGTCGCCACATGGCACCGCAGCGCTGCGGAAAACATACAATTTTACTACACTCGCCAACGCAGCGGGCTGGAACAAAAACCATTCCACTCTACTCGTCACGCGGCAACGCTTGGGGTGCAAACAAATATCATTCCAATACTCTTGCCAAAGTGCCACACTGCGGGCCGGAACACATACACTTCCACTCGACTCGTCACACAGCTTCGCCTGGGGGGCGAAACTACTATCATCGTACTCGCTACTTGCAAAATGGCAACGCAACATGGGCGTCAACAACACTCTTCTACTTTATACGTCATGCGGCAACGCCTCGGGAACGAACAAACAGACAATGCCACTCTACTCGGCACGTTGCATCGCCGGGGGGGCGAAACAATACTATCCTAATCACTCCCAATGTGGCCACGCAGCGGGCCAGAAAAAATACCATTCCACTCGACTCTTCACGCGGCAACGCCTAAGAGGCGAAACAACTTTGAATCCAGTATGGCCAAGCGGCAACACTGCAGGGCGTCAAAAAAGCCTCTTCTACTTTACTCGTCACGCGGTAACGCCTGGGGAACGAACAAAAACGGGCCATGCCACTCTACTCGGCACGCGGCAACGCCTGGAAAGCGAAACAAATAGTATGATCACATTCTATTATACTCGCAACGTGGCAACGCAGAGGGCGGGAACACGTACCATTCCACTCGACTCGTCACGCGGCAACCAGTACCATGCCATCACACTCGCCACGTGGCAACGCAACGTGGCGGAACAGATCCACCTGCGTATTCGACGTCACTCGCCACGTGGCAGCGCCTGGGGAGCGAAAGAAAGACCGCGACACTCTACTCGGCCCGCGGCCACGCCCGAGGGGCGAACCAAGACGAATCTGGTGCAGTCACTACGTCGGAAAGCATATAAGTCTTCTGTTTTCGCCAACGCAGCGGACTGGACAAAAATACCATCTCACTCGAGTGCAGAGGAGGAGGCCCCTTTTCGGCCCGGCGGACTGAAAGAGACCCGAGTGCTGGGAGAGAGGGGTGGGAGGGGGGGGGCGCCCCCCCAGCGCGCGGCAAGGAGAGAGACTCGAGTGCAGGGGTGGGGGGAGGAGGGGGAGCCCTTTCGAATTCCCCCCCCCTTTCGTGTGCCAGGGCAGTGGCCCTTCCCGCCCACCCACCCCCCGCGTCGTGTTTGCTGGGCATCGCTCTATCTCGGATTTCGACGTGTGCGCGCGCGACATCGATCTCACAACACATCTCACGATCGATCTCACAACGGATCTCATGATCGATCTCACAAACGATCTCACTATCGATCTCGCAGCCCTGCTCCGGGACACTGACTCGCGCCGCCCTGCTTCGGGACACAGAACACCGACAGGACACCGACAGGACACCGACGCGCCACCGACGGGACACCCCAAGCCACACGCCGCGCATCCCGGGGGGGGGAGCGGACAACCGGCTCCACAGCCCCTGGCCACGGCGGCATCACTCCTCTCGCGCGCCCACGCAGCGTCGCCTCGCCCGCACGCACGACACGAACACGAAACCGAAACCGATGTCCCGGTGGAGGGCTCTCCAAACCACTGCGATCTCCCCTCCCAACCTCCGAAGCAACTGCCTTCGGGTAGCCTTGTCCGCTGCCTCTATTACCTATACGACCACCCTTCGGGTGATATGGAGGTTCAGGGGGGGAGGGGGAACCAACGTCTCATTCAATCGATCTCACAACCGAGCCCACGATCGATCTCACAACTGATGTTACTACCGTTCTCCCAATCGATCTCACTACCGATCTCACATCCGGACCCACTATCGATCTCACAACGGTTCTCACTATCGGCCTCACATCGATCTCACAATCGATCTCACTATCGATCTTACTATCGGCCTCACAATCGATCTCCCAATCGATCTCACAACCGATCTCACTATCGATCTCAATGCTGATCCCACTATAGATCTCACAAGCGAAGTCACTATCGATCTCACAACTGATCTCACGATCGATCTCACAGCAGAGCCCACTACCGATCTCCCAATCGATCTCGCCATCAATCAGACAATCAAACTTATTATCGATGTCACATTCGGACTCACAACAGATCTCACAACAATTCTCACTATCGGTGTCACTATCGATCTCACAGTCGATCTCACTATCGGTCACACAATCGATGTCCCAATCGATCTCACAATCGATCTCACTTTTGATCCCACTATAGATCTCACGAGCGAACTCACCAGATCTCACAACAAATCTCACTATCGATCTCACAACGATTTTTCAAATTGATCTCTCAATCGATCTCACGACAGATCTCACTGTCGATCCCGCTATAGATCTCACGAGCGAACTCACTAGATCTCACAACAGATCTCACGATCGATCTCACAACGAATTTTCCAATTGATCTCTCGATCGATCTCACGACAGATCTCACTATCGATCCAACTATCGATCTCATCGACACCCCGCGGCACCGCGCGGGACACCCCGCGCCACCGCGCGGGACACCCCGCGCCACCGACGCGGGACACCCCGCGCCATCGACGGGACACCCCTGGCCACCGCGAGACGAGGGGGGGCGGGCAACTGGCTCCACAGCCCCTGGCCACGGCAGCATCACTCCTCTCGCGCGCCCACGCAGCTTCGCCTCGCCCGCACGCACGACACGAACACGAAACCGAAACCGATTTCCAGGTCGGGGGCTCTCCGTCCCACTGCGATCTCACCCCCTCACCTCCGACCAACGGAGCAGACCAGGCCAGAACGAGTACCCCAGCAGAGCCTGAAAAATCCAAAACGGCAATGCTAACAATGGTGCGCGGCGAGATGCGATAGACGGAAGCGGTTACTCATCGGGGTCGGGGGTAGCAGCAGACATGGCCGAACCAAGGACATCGGCGGCGGCGGACGGCAAGCACTGCGGCAAGGGGCAGTCGGGGACGAGGCCGATCCGCGGAACCTGGCGGCGGCGAAGGGCAAACGCCAAGGCTGGGGGCAGTCGGGGACAGGGCTAGTGCAAGCGTCCCAGGGCCAGGGACGGTCGGCGACAGGGCCTAGCCAAGGAGATTGGCGACTGCAGAGGGCAGGCGCAAGTGTCAGGGACGCACGGGGACAAGGCTGAGCAAAGGAGATTGGCGGCGGCGGGGACAAGGCCGGACCAAGCAGATTGGCGGCGGCCAAGGGCAAGCCCCAGCAAGGGGACACAGGCGGGAACGGGGTCGACTCAAGGGATTGGCGGCGGCGGAGGGCGGGGGACAGTCGAGGAAAAGGCCCAACCAAGGATATTGCGGCGGCGCAGGGCCAGGGAAGAGCGGGGACAAGGCCGAACCGAGGACATTGGCAGTGGCGGCGGCGGAGGGCAATCGATGGGGCTGGGGAGGGTCACGGACAATGCCGAGCCAAGGGAACTGATGTCGGCGGAGGGCAATCTCCAGTCGGAGACAGTTGGTGACGGCACCGAACCACGGATATCGGCGGCGGCGGACTGCAATTAACCCCGACGCAGGTAAGAACCCCTCAAATGCAGGCACTGTTCTGGGAACGAGGAATGCAAACATGTAACAGCATGCTGTTCTGATTGAGCGCGTCTGATGCCTTGCCGCCCCAAAATTACTTCGCGCGTTACTTAAGCGGAATGCCATTCAGGTCAAGGGCCCGAGCTCAAATGCTGGACATAGGAAGACGACGAGACGGCCCTGAAGGAGGCAACGTGGCTGCAGAAGCAGCACGCTCGTAGCTCAATTGGTGTGTGAGCACACCTTGACGAGGCCGTCCACCATGGTCTTCTCGATCTGATCAATGTTGCCTGCATGGGGCGAAATGGAGGTTGAACAAACATCAATGGTTTGTCCATGGGGAGAACCGGAAAAGACATCGTATCGTATGCAACAAAGCGGACATAAGACCCGACCAGACGGGCCCAAGCTGGTTCAACTGAGCCTCTTTCGGAGAGCTCGGAAGAACCATCGCGCTCAAGACGCCCCCAAGACCGCCGGCAGGTACCTAAGAGGTTCCCCAAGGCCGCCAACCAGCTCCACTAAAAACACCAAATATTATCCGATAAACCCGCAAACCCAAACGCAACAACCATGCAACGCTACGTCTGCACCACGCTACAGTTGCAGCATCTTAGAGCTGCTTTCTAGACGGCCCAAATTAGCTACACTGGGACTGCTCAAAGGCCTCAGTACAATCATCCTGAATGCATTCCGATACTGCGCTGGCACTGTGGCGGACCTTGCCGGAAGCAACTAGACACTATCAGAGTCACGCGTGCGTTCTCCAAGTTTTCGGAATGCCAATAGAATGTGGCAGGGAAGGCTTGAAGATCAGATCAAGGAGGTTCATGGGTCGGAGAAACGAAGGGGCTATGACACTCCCACCCCCAAACAAAAACTGCGATTGCAACTTCGATACCCTCCAGCCTGTGTATTCCGTGCCGTCCACATTGGCCGACGTAGGGCGGCTTCTGTACCCTCGAATAGAATTCTTCGTGACCATCCTAGGCGGACTCGTGGTCTTCTTTCTCACAACTAGCGGCTTCGACTTGTCCTTCAAGCTCGATACCACTGCCAATTCAGGGTTATCATCCACCAACCTCTGAAATTGCGATTCCCGCACCATCCGCGCGATCATTAGCAACTCTTCGAAGGAGATCCGCGTTCCTATCTCGTGCGCGCTCGTGTGGAAGCCCTGAGTCCTGTGCGCAGTTGCGAACACACACGAACGGCACCAAGAGAGTACGGGCGCCTGACCGTCTGTGGGTAACACACAACATGCAACACAACGCAATGGCTTGTTCGTCGAAGAGAGCCCTGATTACTGGGACGATTAGCACGGTTGGTACCCTGGACAATCTTCCTCACTCCTCCACCTCCGCCTGTCGTCTGTCCCTGCTCCTCCTCCTCCTCCTCCTCCTCCTCCTCCATGTTCTCCTCATTTTTTCTCGCTGGGCGAACTCAAGGTGCTGGCCTGTAGTGTTCGACATCCTCCTCCTCCTCTTCCTCCTCCTCCTCCTCTTCCTCCTATATACTCTTTCCTCGCCCTCTACGTCTTTCTTCGTCGTTCTCCTCTTTCCTCCCCCTCCTCCTCCTCCGCCTCCTCCTCTTTCCTTCTCCTCCTCTTTCCTCGTCCTCGTCCTCGTGCTCCTCATCCTCGTCCACCTCCTCTTTCCTCCTCCTGCTGAGGCACTGGGGCACAGATGGCACCTCCTCCTCCTCCTCTTCCTCCTCCTCACCTTTCCACCTCCTCCTCTTTCCTCCTCCTTCTCTTCCTCCTCCATATCAGCATCATCATCATCATCAGCAGCATCATCATCATCATCATCATCATCATCATCATCATCATCATCATCATCATCATCATCATCATCATCATCATCATCATCGTCATCATCATCATCATCAGCAGCATCATCATCATCAGCAGCAGCATCGTCGTCATCATCATCATCATCATCGTCATCATCATCATCATCATCATCATCATCATCATCATCATCATCATCATCGTCATCGTCATCGTCATCATCATCATCATCATCATCATCATCACCACCATCACCATCATCATCATCATCATCATCATCATCATCATCATCATCATAATCAGCATCATCAGCAGCATCACCATCATAAGCATCATAACCATCATACTCATAATCAGCAGCAGCAGCATCAGCATAACCAGCATAAGCATCATCATCAGCATCACCAACACCATTATCAGCATCAGCATCAGCATCATCAGCATCCGCATCCGCATCAGCATCAGCAACATCATCATGTGTCCTCCGTCTGCTCCTCCTCCTCCTCCTCCTCTTTCCTCCTCCTGCTAAGGCACTGAGGCACTGATGACACCTCTTCCTCGTCCTTCCTCCTCCTCCTCCTCCTCCTCCCTCTTCCTCCTCCTCCTGCTCTGTCCTCCTCTTTCCTCGTCGCCGTCGTCGTCGTCGTCGTCGTCATCATCATCATCATCATCATCATCATCATCATCATCATCATCATCATCATCAGCATCATCATCATCATCATCATCATCATCATCATCATCATCATCATCATCATCATCATCATCATCATCATCATCAGCATCATCATCAGCATCAGCATCATCATCATCATCATCATCAGCATCATCATCATCATCATCATCATCATCATCGTAATCATCATCATCATCACCACCATCATCATCATCATCAGCATCATCAGCAGCATCAGCATCAACATCAGCATCATCAGCATCAGCATCATCATCAGCAACAGCATCATCATCATCAATCAGCAGCATCATCATCATCATCATCACCACCATCATCATCAGCATCATCATCAGCAGCAGCATCAGCATCATCATCAGCATCATCATCATCGTCATCGCCATCATCATCCTCATCCTCATCCCCATCCTCATCCTCATACTCATCATCAGCATCAGCATCAGCAGCAGCAGCAGCATCAGCATCAGCATCAGCATCAGTATCATCATCATCAGCATCATCATCATAATCATCATCATCAGCATCATCATCAGCATCATCATCAGCAGCATCAGCATCATCATCATGTTCATCATCATGGTCAGCATCATCATCAGCAGCATCATCATCATCAGCGGCAGCAGCAGCATCGTCCTCATCCTCATCCTCATCATTAGCATCATCAGCAGCATTATCATCATCAGCTTCATCGGCGTCTCCATCATCATCAGCATCAGTATCATCATCAGCAGCAGCATCAGCAACATCATCATGATCAGCATGATCATCACTATCATCAGCATCATCATGATCATCATGATGATGATCATCATCATCGTGGTCGTCGTCGTCGTCATCAGCATCATCATCGTCGTCAGCATCATAATGATCATCATAATCATCATAATCATCATCAGCAGCAGCATCAACATCAGCATCAGCATCAACATCATCATCCATTGTCCTCCTGCTGCTCCTCATCCTCATCCTCCTCCTTCTCCTCCTACCCCTCCTCCGCCAAACCGACCCGGCAGCTCGGAGAGGGCGAGGAGACCCCGCCACTCCGACCCGAGCAGCAGGAGAGCGCCGCACGCGCTCCCGGCTCCTGCTGGCATCCCACTCCTGGCCCCTACGATGCGCGGCCTCTCCCCTCCCCGCTAAGACGAAGCCAGGATGGGGACAAATTCGGGTGAGGATAAATCGAGAGCCTCTGAGATCTGGCGGCTCTGGAGATGTCTCGGGCGCCGCGGCCTTCTCAGAGCGTTACAGAACGCTCTGGAACTGATTTAACCTCGTCCTAGCCCTGCCCGACCTTGCCCTTCCTCACTGACGGGGGGTATGGCGACCGATCCCAATTTTTAACCATGTGGGGATTCCGACCATACCAGAACAATCGAGGTTCAATTTTGGAATATACGATGTCAGGGCGGGGGCGTCCGTGATCGATAGAGGTGCGCCCGAATAGCCCTCTATGCGGCGGATTTGTTTTTTTGGGGGGGCTCGCGGATTGGGGGCTATGGATGGCTTTGGAGAATCCCGGCACAAAAAGAGACTATCTGACTGCCCCCTGTTTCCGTCATCTCTCCTCAACCGAGTTGCACAGTAGTTCCTCAACTCCCTCAGCGGTTGCACCGATGACGGACGATAGCGTTCGTTTTCCTCTGGTATGCGGTGTGCCTGGACACACCACACTTGCTGCGATCAGGCTGCGAATATATTCAGACTGATGGACTCACAAGAGATCGCCCGCGACCTCGTCCTTCCCCCCCGATCCTCCTCTGCTCGCGGGGCCAGGATTGCAAACTTGGAAGTGGGTATCAACACCAAGACAAGTGGGTGCCTCCACCAGGAAAAGTTGATCCTAGATTTCTGTGTCGGTGGTATTCTTCGGCTACCTAGGAAGCCTGACTGATTCCACCATCACCGTATGTAGCCACCCAAAAAGCCCGAATGTAATGACATCCACCGCCCAGCACTAGTCCGTGTACACTGTCAGTGCACCAGCGTGCTTGTGTGTTCGTGCCTTTTGTTTGTGCATGGTCGTCATTTCAGCTGGCTTCTTGCGTGCGTTGCGTGCGTACCCGTCGGTCGGAAGAAGTGGGTAGAAACATGAAGTAGGAAGGGGGTAAAGGTAGGCTGGGCTTCCGCCCGCCCCCTGCAGAGCAAGGAAGAGGACCACCCGATCATTGAAGCAGGAAGGCGCCTAAAAGTAGACTGGGATCTGGGAATCCAGAAATACCTACAGTAGGAGCCCGTCCACAAGAAACCCACCCCTGAGACTCCAGGACGTCCTCTAATTTCGGGTGTGGGAACGTCACGCTCTCCGTCGCAAACCATCGAAACCCAAGAAACGCGGGGCACCCTGGAGGCAAGCAGGGTGTTTCTTGGCATGGGTCTCCATTGTTGATTCGGCTTCCGCCCGCCCCCTGCAGAGGAAGGAAGAGGACCACTCGATCATTGAAGCAGGAAGACGCCTAAAAGTAGACTGGGACCTGGGAATCCAGGAATGCATACGGCAAGTTCGCGTCGTGTCGACCCCGTCGTTGGTTCCTGACACCGCGGGGATCGTCCAAACTTGAACGATCGGACGTTCCGTGAACGCCGGATCGTTCAACGACGGGCCGATTCTGGACCACGGTCGGCGTTCAACCCTAAACGCACGCGGTGGGGTCGCCGCCGGTCGGCACGACGCGAACCTGCCGTACTTTCAACGACTGACGGGCACTGAGATCGGGATCCTCCTGCATCGGTGGAGGCGCACTGCCGACCGCGGTGCCGGTGCCCACCTCTGGGCCTCCGACGAGGCACCTCCGAGCCAGGGCGGGGCAGCGGCGACGAGCGGAGCGCCGCAGGGCCCGCCCCCCCCGCGGCCCCGAGGCCCCAAGGAGGCGCCGCCGTGAGAGGGGCACTGACAAGGGGGCCGTGATGATCACCACTCTTCTTCCCGGCAACCTGGGCTCTGAAACAGGGGTCGAATCATACAAACTCGACCCAACTAGGAGACATGCTAAGACCCTTCCCCGGCTCCGCTGTCCAGGATGGGCGCTGGCCTCTGGGAGCGAGCGGGGGCCACGAGAGGCCCCCACGGAGCATCGCCGAACCGATCCCGAACTGCCTGACTTGTTGATCGGCGAGAGACCCGCCCGGGGCGTTCCCGCCGGCGGCGACAGGTCGCCCAAGCGTGCGCTCCGTGCCAAGCGGAGCGATCTCGGGTTGTGAGCTCCCGGGTACGGATTTCGGGCCATCGAGCTGGAATCGGCGATATAGGAGGAGGAGGAGGAGGAGGAGGAGGAGGAGGAGGAGGAGGAGGAGGAGGAGGAGGAGGAGGAGTAGGAGGAGGGAGGAAGAGGGAGGAGGAAGAGGGAGGAGGACGAAGGAGGAGGAAGAGGAGGATTTCGCCGCCGATCTGAGCCAGGGCGGGGCAGCGGCGGCGAGCGGAGCGCCGCGGGCCGCGAGGCCCGCCCTCGCGGCCCCGAGGTGCCAGGGAGGCGCCGCCGCGAGGGGGGTGCTGGCCTCTGGGCCAGGGAGCGAGCGGGGGCCACAGCGAGCATCGCCTGTCCGATCCACATCCTTGTGGATGCCACGACAATGGACACCCTAACAGTCCTACCATTGAATCTAAAAATGTGTTTACAATGCCAGAAGAATGTTCTAAATATGTTCTTCATATTTAAAACGTGTTTAACGCATGTTTTAGACATCTGGAAATCATTTGGCAACATGCTTCCTCTCCATTGATCGTCCTCCACAACCAAATCCCTTCTGTCGTGGCCTTAGCCCCACTGGCCGATTGGCCCGCCCAGATGGGGTACAGGCTGTTCCCTTCGGGCTTCGAGGGGCCCCTCCCCAACTGGGGGTGCAGGATCGTGGGGCCGAGATGCCATGGCTTGGCGTGCACGGGAACAAGTTGAATGAGGCGGACCCAGGCAGGCCTGAGCTGAATCGAATCGCAGAACCGGATCGGATCGGAAACGGGTCGTATCGCCAGCGAGCCGTGCCGAGTCGAATCGAGATCGGATCGCCGCGCCTGGCTGTGGCTGGCCCTGGCCGACGCTGGTGAATCGGCCAAATCGAAGCGCATCTGACCATGGGCGGCCATGCCAATCACGTCTACGGCACGCGTATACGGCATGCCGCGATGGACGAGCTGGGAACCGATGGCTCAACAAGGCGGCAATCTTGCCCGTGGGTCTAGTCGGACTGGGACCCAGCGACCTGAGAAATGAGCAGCACGCGGGCCGCCGTCGCACGTTGCTGGCCATCCTCGTTCCAACGATCAAGGTGCCAGACTTGAGTGTCTACTCCGGCTTTGCCGAAGATCGCTCCCGGGGACCAGTTGACGCAGAGCAGTGTGGCAAGCACCCGAATTAGCTAAATAGCAAGACGGCGTGTCCAATGCGCGGGTGAAGAAGTGCTGCGAAACATATCGAGAAAAATGCAGAGACAGGGACAAAGGGAGAAAGAGAGAGAGAGAGACAACAGAAAAAAAGAGAAAAGAGAGAGAGAGAGAGACAGAGAGACAGAGAGACAGAGAGATATAGAGAGACAGAGAGACAGAGAGACAGAGAGACAGAGAGACAGAGAGACAGAGAGACAGACAGACAGACAGACAGACAGACAGACAGACAGACAGACAGACAGACAGACAGACAGACAGACAGACAGACAGACAGACAGACAGACAGACAGACAGACAGACAGACAGACAGACAGGCACACAGACAGACAGACAGACAGACAGACAGTCAGACAGACAGAGGAAAACCAAACGAACACGTTGTCGGGGAGGCTTCCCCTATCCCCTTCTCCGATCCTCCTCCTCCTCCTCCTCCTCCTGCCTCTCCTCCTCCTCCTCCTCCTCCTCCTCCTCCTCCTCCTCCTCCTCCTCTTCCTCCTCCCCCTCCTCCTCCCCCTCTTCCACTCCTCCTCCTCCTCCTCCTCCTCCTCCTCCTCCTCCTCCTCCTCCTCCTTCGTCCTCCTCCCTCTTCCTCCTCCCTCTTCCTCCCTCTTCCTCCTCCTCCTCTCCTCCTGCTCCTCCTCCTCCTCCTCTTCCTCCTCCTCTCCCCCGCTTCCTCTCCACCTCCTGCTCGCTCCTCCTCCTCCTCCTCCTCCTCCTCCTCCTCCTCCTCCTCCTCCTCCTCCACCCCCCTCCCCCTGGGAGGAGGACGAGGTCAAGTCAGGCCAGCCAGTCTTCGAAAGCTTCTTAGTGAGAAGTCTACCAGGGGGGTGAAGCATTAAAGTCCCAGCCCAGATTCCCCAAGTCTGGGGGCAGCAGAACACAGGAGGGGAGGAGGAGGAGAGGAGGAGGAGGAGGAGGAGGAGGATAGGAGGAGGAAGGAGGAGGAGGAGGAGGAGGAGGGAGGGGAGGGGAGGGGAGGGGGAGGGGGAAGGGGGAGGGGGAGGAGGAGGAGAGGGAGGAGGAGGAGGAGGAGGAGAGGAGAGGGAGGAGGAGAGGAGGAGGAAGGAGGAGGAGGGGAGGAGGAGGGGGTGAGGAGGAGAGGAGGAGAGGAGAGAGAGGAGGAGGAGAGGAGGAGGAGGGAGGAGGGAGGATGAGGAGAGGGGTAGGAGGAGGAGGAGGCAGGAGGAGGAGGAAGCAGTAGGAGGAGGAGCAGGAGGAGGAGGAGGAGGAGAGGGAGGAGGAGAGAAGGAGGAGGGGAGGAGGAAGAGGGAGGGAAAGAGGGAGGAGGACGAAGGAGAGGAGGAGGAGGCGAAGGGGAGGAGGAGGAGGACGATCATCGTCCCCCTCCCCTACCCCCGCCGCCTCCTCCTCCTCCTCCTCCTCCTCCTCCTCCTCCTCCTCCTCCTCCTGCCACCGCGCGGATCTCCTCCCGGCGCCCCTGCTGCGCTCCAGGCGCTCCACGAATGGCATCGCGCTCGCGACCTCCTGAAGGCCGAACGCCCTGCGCCGGGGGAGCCGCGGGTGAGCGCCACGGGCGAGCCCGGGATATGCTGGCGTACCGCAGAGAGGGGGGTGCAGCGCGCGGGGGTTGCAAGTACAAGCAAAACCTGTATTAAGGACGGGTGGTAAGGAAGAAGCAAGACCCTGGCAGGCCGAAGTTGGGATCTTTTGGGCGGCGGGCGACCAATGAAAACGGCACAGGACGGGCCACAGAGGCAAGGACACAAGAGCACTCTAGATGAAGGCGCGCGTCCTTACCAGGCGCGTTGACTGTACAGAGGGATTGGATGATAAGGATGCGCGGTAAGTGATGCAAGGCCCTTGGAGGCCCAAACTGAAGCCGAAGTGGGAAGCCTGCGGCCCACAGCAAATGGTTAGGATAGGCCGAGAGGCGAGGATGCAGGGGTACCCTTGGATCGCTTAGCATCCTCTTATGATCCAGTTTGACTGCAGCAGAAAAGGGGGGAGGGGGGAGGGGGGAAAAGAAAGGCCACGGAGAAGGGGTGGGAGAAGGCTGAGGGGCAGAGACTTCAAAAGGGGGGGGCACGGAGAGCAAAAACGAGAGGGGCTATGGGGAAGCAGTTAGGCGGAGGGCTGTGACCCTGTAGCCCTCCTCACCACTACTCGCCCTCCGCGCCCATGAACGGCATGTGGAGGAATTACCTTGAAAGGCGTGTCCTGACATCTGCCGCGGATATCTGGGGATGAAAGATCGGGGATGCACAAAACCCCCTTCGTAAAACGTGGTTTAGTGAAAACGACCTCGGGCCCAAACCTGGCGGGCGCAAGCCTGGACAATGACGGCCGCGGCGCCCTCTCGAGTGTCAGGGTGGGGGTTCTGTCCACCCCCGAAAAAAAAGACAGCAGCTGAACATATCCAAGGTCGCCCCGCTGCGCGATGAACTCTTCGCGGAGCTCGCGCGACGCATCTGCGCGCGACCGAAAGGCAATGTGCCATGCGTCTCTGGAGCCCGCGCGGACCGACAGGAGCACCTGGAAATCTTACACCATACCCATCGATCGGAAGAAGTTAGGTAGAAACGTGAAGTAGGACGGCGTTGAAAGTAGATTGGGTGTCCGCCCGCCCCATGAGGACGGAAAAGGTGAAGCCACTCGATCATTGAAGTAGGAAGGCGCACAAAGCACATTGGAATCTGGGAATCCAGAAATACCTACTTTCAACGACCGATGGGCATCGGTATGATCCCAAGAGCTTGGTAGAAACATCAAGCAGGAATGTACTTGAAATAATTTGGGTTTCGGCCCACCCTACGCCAGTGGTATAGCAAGCGGCTGAAGTAGTAGGCCATCGACTCTCGAAATAAAAAAGCACTCGAAGCAGAACCCACGCTCAATACACGAGGGTGCACAACCATCCGCCAAACACTGGGCCGACCTTGCCAGGAGACATCCGCCAGCCCCATGAAGGGGGTCAGGGGGAACAAGGAAGCGGCGGAGTCAGTTTGGGGAACATGGGGTTGGGAATAGAACTTGTCACTAAAGGGTCAACGATGATGGGGGAATGCGCTAGGTGGAGACCCCCTCACCCTACTCCCACCAACCATCGATTCTCCTGAATCGAACGAAGAGGCGGGGGGGGTAGGGCTTGGATTTCGCCATGTGTTCGACGAATTCCGAACCCCGCCCCCGCCGCCCATCGAGTTGTCTGAATCGTTGATCGGCGAGGGTAGGGTTTGGATTTCGCCACCGATACGCCCAACGTTCAATTCGGTATGAATGACAAAGATCGTGCTGGAGACGGGTCATGGATCCTGGAGCCTTTCCCCGGGACTGGCTCCTCATCCCAAATCGTCTCTTGAATGCCAAGGGGCCCAGGGAGGGACCGGGGGGTGTCCGAAAACGGCGACAGAGCTGCAAGACCCTTTTCCTCCCAGGCCACCTGCTCTGCGTTTGGCAACAAGCGTGGGTGGGTCCTCCCCGATGGGGGTTAAGGCTAACCTGTCCGCGCCCGTGGGCTGGTGGTCTGGCTTCTGTGGCGAGTGGCGGGGGCCGACTGGCGTCGACGTCGCGCGGCACTGATTGCCCGCCACGGGGTTCGATTTGGGGCTGTCAGCGGGGGCGGCGCCCCCCAGAGCTTGTGACCAGACGCAGAATATCTTGAAGGGGCCCAGGGACACACACACACACATGAGTACACACAAATCCCAGAATTCCCCCCATGTTGTTTTTCCATGTTCTTTGGAGTTTCGTCTTCGCCCCCACTTCCCATATTTTCCCCTGTTCTGGGGAATCGACGATTCATTGTGTCTGTGTTTTTTGTCCATCCTGGTATCTTCGCGCCCTTGCGAGTCCACCCTGGAGACGGGCAACTGACCAGGCCAGCCCGCGAGGCGCGATCCTCTTCGTGCCCCGTGGGGCGGCGCAGTCCTCCTGGACCCCCTGCAGTCAACCCGTATGTTTAAGGACGCACGATAAGGATGCACTATAGTGGAGGCCCGACCTGCGAGGCGGAGATCTATCCATATCCACCGCCTGGGAACCGACGTCCTGGTGCCCCAGCGGGTAGTGGATATGGATATATTTCGGTCCCCGGGGGCCCGAATATGTCCATATCCACCGCCTGCCGAGGCTCCGAAAACTGACCCTCCAGGCAGGCGGTCGGTATGGATAAATTCTCGCCTCGGACGACCACAATAAACCTTCCACAAGAAGCCCAACCCTGAGCCCCCAAGACGTCCAACGATTTGGGCGTGGGAACGTCACGCCCTCCATGACAAAAACATCGAAACCCAAGAAACCCAGGGCACCCTGGAGGCAAGCAGGGTGTTTCTTGGCATGGGTCTCCGCTGTACAGCCGGGCGCTCCATTTCCTGCTTCACCGTTGTGGGGCGCTCCGTTTTCCGTTTCTACCTCGGTATTTCCGAAGGGTTGCCAATCGCGCGCTCTTCTGCCTACGCGTGTCCCTCCAGATGCTTGGCTCTCTGGTGTGGTGGTGGTGGTGGGTGAGGATGCAAGGCAAGAGCCTTGGAAGGACATGTCGACACTTTGCGAGCGGGGCGCGGCCAACGAAAACGTCCAAGGATGGGCCGAACGGGATGGATGCAAAAAGGACCTTAGAACATCGATCACCCTTACCATCAGGGTTGACCGTATCGCCTCATCGCGTGGCAACTCCTGGGAGCCTTACCTGTCCTTTCCGTCCCTCCATCCGGGAGCCAACGCAGGAACACAGTCGAGCGCTGCCAGAACACTGAAGGCAGAAATACAGTGGAGGCCAGTCCACAAGAAATCTTCCACAAGAAACCCAACCCTAAGACCCCAGGACATCCATCGGTTTTTGGTGCGGGAACGTCACCCTGGAGGCAAGCAGGGTGTTTCTTGGCATGGGCCTCCACTGTAGAAGGGCAAACGAGGCTCCCAAGAGTTGCCACGCAACCCGCACGCCAATCAACATCGATCAGCCCAGCCGTACGGCACGCGCCCCGCGCCTGCCCAAGACCGGGCCGACCTTGCTGGGAGACAACCGCTGGCCCCGCCGACCCGGGGCA